GCGGCCTGAAGGCCGATTTGAGCTACCATGAATATGTATAAACGTGGGGAGACAAATAATGGATTTTGCCTTCCTCTGTATTCAATCGTAAATATAAATCCAAATAAACAATATCAGTAAAAAAAAAGTATCGTGGGGTCGTTTGGCGTAGCGGCAGAGTGCTCGACTCGGAACCAAGAGGTCCCGGGTTCGAGTCCTGACATGCCACCGATCTTGTGCCCTTGGGAAAGGCACTTTAAACGACTTTCCTCACTACACTCAGGTGGAAATAAGTATTGTGCAGTCCTGTATTTGTACTCTGTGTTGGTGGCGGCATAAAATAAGTTGATATAACTTGAGTGTGCCGTCGCCATGTTTGCTCATGAAATGTTGAAATATAGAAAAATAAAAAAAATAAATAAAAAGAAGGGGGTGTGCCCTTGTTTGTATCGAACCACATATGAATTATAGCATATTTGCACAACTTTATGACTATAACGTTCTCCCATTATCACTGGATCCACAATGTGGTTTTGTTGCGTATAACCTCCTAGATCCTCACCATATGTACATATGCTACACCAGTCCCTGTTAGGCCACACCGACTTCATTTTATGGATGACATCCTCTGAAGACACCCAAACTAGTGCGCGCAGGCGAATAAAAAAAATTCCGACCAAAAATAAAAATGCTCCTAAATCACGGGAATAGAAAGCTGAATTTGTGGCAGTACATAGCGACGTACACGACAAGCCGGCAAATGCAGGCTTTTTGCGGAATGTATGGATCGGCACTGTACGTATGTACTGAGTTCTTGAGTCGTGGAGCTTCGGTAGCCTGGGTGCCTGGCTCCGTATTGTCGCTACCATGGACTACCCAGGCCTAGACCCAGGCCAAAGCCTCAGTGGACGTTATCTTTTTTTTTCGAGAACAGGCGAAAATCAATGCGCGCGCGGATCCGATGTCATCCATAAAATGAAGTCGGTGTAGCCTTATCAAAACTGTAATACGTGTACATTGCATTCATGAATAACAAAGTACAGCCCAATAGAAGGTGTAATACCGAGAAAATGAAATGTCATCATTCTAATTCTTGGAAACTCTTTGAATTTTAATGTGCTGTGCTCTGATTTTAAAATCGCGCTGAGGCTGACTAACGTTACTAGTTCATTTTAAATACACATGTCACCATGCAGAATGTACGTCAAAAATTTCAATCCCTTTCTACAAGATTTTTAAATCTAATCGTCATGAAGAATTAAATTTTAGTCCTCCATATTTAAAAACCTTTTCTGCTCAATGTCTGTCTTGAAATATTATGTGATGCATGAATACAACATGATAATACTATATATGTGTATACTGTGGTCAAAACCAGTTGTGGTTGTATGCTAAGCTGTATCTTTTTATTTTATATAGATAATCCAACATGTGATAGCAAGACGTGATGACGGCACACTGAAGTTTTTTTTAAACTTACATTAATGCCGCCACCAACACAGGGGACAATACAATACTCATTTTCACCTGAGCGAAGTGAGAACATGTATCTTCCCTTGTATTCAATGGTATGATTGCCAGTCAATTCCTGTTTTTTAAAAAAACTTCTTAGAAACTTTTTCTTACAAAACCCCAGTACCACTACAATCTGATTTGTTTTGTTTTCCTTGTTTTTTTCAATCGTTTCAATCGTTAATTTCATGTTAATTATCTAATCAGTTTATTTCTGCAACGCGACCTGAATTATAAGACTTTTGTTTAGTTTCTTTTCGTAGATGTGGAAACTAGTTTACACACTTCAGTTATTATTTCTGTGTCTTGATTTTGTTTAATTAATCAATTATTTTATTGTTTAATTTTGATGTTTAATTCAAATATGTTTTGTCATGTATCATAGTTACCTTTGTTTGCGGTAGGCCCTTTAAAAAAACCACCTAGGTCTCTTGCCTACCCCGCATATTCTCTTATTGTTATTGTTTGATTTAATCATTATGTAAATTTTTTATACGTGCAAATAATAAATAAACAAATAAAGAAATATCTGGACGTACCTTTAGCTCTGTGACCAAAGCTTTTGTCCTCAGACCCCTTGTATGCGTCAGCAGTATCATCTGACTTGTTGTAGATATCGTCAGGTTTGTAGTAGTGATCGCGGGGGGACTCTGTCTTGTTCCCCGGCTCCGGATCCGCAGATCCGCGGACATCCATTTTGAAATCCCCAGGCTCTACCGAAAAATTATGATACACAAATTAAAACTCGACAAGATACTTAAATCCTACCAGTTCTTTTATTGCCGATAAAGACTACAAAGTGCATACTATATCCTACCATATAACTCTAGTGCAATACCTCACATGGTACGACTGTTGTAAGAAAAAAAATGCCCTATTGTAGTTTTATAATGTTCGCATATCGTCTATGTGCGTCAAATTCCGAGATTTTGAGATGTTGTATAATGTGTCTTCATGAGATCTTTAAAATTTGTTAATATTGTGTAATTCTGTTACAGTATAACTACGTTTTTAATAATTGTACCCAATATAGTTAATGCTTTTAGTATGCAATCCAACGGTGCAATAGCTCAATTGGTAGAGTGCTCGCTTTGTAACCGGGAGGTCGTGAGTTCAATCCCCGGCCGGGTCATACCAAAGACTTTAAAAATGGTACACACTTCTTTCTCTGCTTAGCACTCAGCACATATGAGAAAGAGTGTGGGAAGGTCAAACACACAGCACTACCAGCGGACTAGCCCCCTGCTGTAGTGCCCTGCACAACTGTGTGTCGCCCAAGGGCTACGGAAATGGACATGGGCACCAAAACCCTATGCTCTGTATAGGTAGACCTTTTATAGTATGAATACCAACTGGAACCCCCACGCAATTCAGTCTGTGACTGCCATGTGGGAACCATTGTTATATATTAATTAGGAGTTTTACGTGAAACAAATAAACCAGTATATATATATATACACCAGCCCTTCTAATGCAAAAATTTTCCTGCCATGTTTTTTTTTTCAAAATAATTTTCTAAAAAAATTAAGATAAACAGGGATCGTATTTAGACTATTTGCGGAGAGGATGTAGGACTCGGTAGCTATAATAGATTTGGTAACCAGGCTATCGTATTTAGTGTTCATTACCTCTCCCTGACGCAACAACAGTTATTTTTGTTCTTGGCCCGAATGGCAAATTACGTGCGCGTTCACTAATACATGTAAATCAAATTTTCCCTGTTTTGGCTAGCGGCAGATGCAGTGAAGTTCAATTTATGGATCAACGAAAAACGGGCCACGTCTTATAGACCAAGGAAGTTATCCTCCTTGTGCAGACTTTTTATTAGTACATTCTACAAACATTTAGACTTTGGAAATCTTACAGAGATGGCCTTTCAAGAATCTCACACTCTGTTACAACGGCCGCAATAAGGTTTATAGTCTGGTATCCAGTCTGATCGTGGTCGGGGCCGTAAGAGCTCGGGGCCGTAAGAGCTCTGGCCCGCCCGCCTCACATAGGTTTCCCGGTGTGTATTTCACGAGAGATTAATTAGCCCTCCAGGAATCGTGTTGGGGGGAAACCAAATCCCCAAACATACTGTCTCTGATTAGCGTAACACTCCTACCGGGACGGTCTGTTGCACTGGGCGGGGGAAGCTATTAGAGCCCCCGAAGGCACAACCTGCCTGAACACCCCAATACCCCCAATCACGATCAGACTGGATACCAGGGTTTAAGGTTTATTCACAGGATCGCATAAGCAAGGGCTCCATTTTCTTCATTAATTTTCCTGACATTTTACACGATTATGATCATTTTCCATAACCAAAGACGGTTGCAAAAACAATATTTTCATCTGGAGCAATAAAGTGTTAAAAATAAATTAAAAAAATGAAAATATAATAACAGACATACCTTAGTTTGCCTCCATCATACGGTAGACTTCCAATGTGTTCAGTCCTGTCTGCCACAGAGTACTAGTACCGAGGGACTGGTGTAAGCAAGCGGACGTCACTTCCTGGTATTAAAACAGTATAATCACGCACAAAACTATGGTTTCGGCATGATGAAAACAGTATCAGACTTATTCTGAAGCGGGTGAACAAAGCCACACCCACTCACAAACATACCGATACCATTATATAATGGAGAGACTTAACAGACCAATCTAGAACCTTCTGGAACAAGATGAAACAAGGAAACAGAGAATATTGAGTCTGTGTACATGCATATATCTTTAGAATTATATCTATCAGAATGTGGTAGTATATCTACTATCATGAAGATTTTAGAACGTGGATATCACCCTCTAGCTCTTGGTTCTTTGGTTTACAGAAAAAGAAAACAACACCATGCAACTTTCAGATATGGTAAATTTCTGAGATTTAATCTCAACAGGTTTATAGATGTACCGCATTACTTTCATCTGCAGCAGACTCGGTGAGTTTAATCTGGTTGCTGTGCGTATATTGTTTTTTTTTTCAAAGCAACTTGCCTGTATTACTTTTTTGCTTGTAATATTTATGTACGCTTATCGGCCGTGTAAGGTTTCTCGTTTCTGTAACTCTGTACCTTTTCCCAAGTGAAATCGCCAATAGCTGTCTACCTCTAGATCTGGGAAGTTGAGAGATATAAACCTGCTAGTGATATGATAATCTTACATACCATACATTAAGGATAGAACAGAAAAGAACTGCAAAGCAAAAGACTAGTATTAAATACATGGAAACAGTGAACGAATCATTTATCAACATATTGAAACTTTGATATATTTTGTGATGTTCAATATGTTGACTTAGTGGTTCTATCACAGGACACCTACATGTACCTGCTCCTTTTCATATTTTACCCCTTGTTGTGTTATTTTCCTGCAAAGCCAGAAAAATTTAATTGGTCTGGCCTGTATTATGTGTGTAACGTTATACTGTATGCCTACACCCGGCTACTTGTACAAAATGTATCACATGTAGCGTACATGTAGTGTCATCCCCAATAACAGCACTAGGTGGGTAATCGGGATAGGTTTGTTTGACCTGTGACCCGGTCAAAGGTTACGCGTGGGCATCATGGCAGGCGTGCTGTTTGAAGATATCTTCGACGTCAAAGACATCGACCCCGACGGCAAGAAGTTCGACAGAGGTAAGAAATCTTCGTCCATTTTTTAAGTAGTGTTCCTTGAATAGTTTAAACGCCTTAACGCGGTCCGTATGGCTATGAACAGTGTATAAACGCTTCTGTACTGCGGCAAGAGGGGAGGGGGGCATGTTTTGAAGAAAGAAAAATCGTCTCGACGCTGGCAAAACTTATGTACATGTACGAAATTCCTGTGTTATATCTGGACACAATTTGTACATTATGCCATCATGGTGTAAATACGTTCTAACTACATATATAACGTTATATAGTAGGAGGGAGCTTTAGTCATGTAGTTACCAAGTGTTAAATACCTAGAGAGAACTGAACCAAGCGCAAACCAGCACCAAGAGACCACGTCTACTACTACTATTGATGTATTAAATGTTAAAAAGGGACAATAACAACAAGTTCTAGGTTTTGCTCTTTTACTACTTACTCATTAGAGTATATATGTACTGTATGATTATGAAAGTTTTGTGCTATCTGTTTGTTCAAAAATCGTTGTCTTGTTCTGCAGTGTCCAGACTCCACTGTGAGAGTGAGAGTTTTAAGATGGAGCTGATACTGGATGTGAACACACAGGTGTATCCTGTGGACATAGGTGAGGTGTTTATTTATTTGTTTTATTTATTATTTGCAAAAAAAAGTTACATAATCAAATAATAACAATAAGAGAATATGCGGGGTAGGCCAGAAACCTAGGTGTTTTATTAAAGGGTCTACCCCTTTGGGGTCGTGTGGCGCAGCGGTAGCGCGTTCGGCTCGGGACCTAGAGGTCCCGGGTTCGATCCCCACCCATGTCACCGATCTTGTGCCCTTGGGAAAGGCACTTTACACGACTTTCCTCACTTCACTCAGGTGTAAATGAGTACCTAGCTTCGGTTAGGGACGTCCCTCGGAATAGGACGTTAAATGGAGGTCCCGTGTTTGGGGAGAACCACACCCCACGCACGTTAAAGAACCCACCACACCTTTCGAAAAAGAGTAGAGGCATGCCCCGGTGTGCGATGGTACAAATTCTACAATCCGGAGTCTTGCCAAGAATTGGCATGCCATAATGATCAATATAATGATCGTGGGCATTAAAGGAAAGACAAGACAAGACCCCAAACAAAGGTAACTATGATACATGACAAAACATATTTGAACTAAACATCAAAATTAAACAATGATATAATTGATTACTTAAACAAAATCAAGACACAGAAATAATAACTGAAGTGTGTAAACTACTACAAATGTAGTAGTTTTTACAATTAAATTACATCTACGAAAATAAATTAAACAAAAGTCTTATACATGTAATTCAGGTCACTGTTAGAGAAATAAACTGATTAGATAATTAACATATAAATCAATGATTAAAACAAATGAAATTAACGATTAAAACAAATGATCTTCAAACTTGTGCCTTGTAAACTTTACATAACAGTAAACATTTGAGGATACATTTCACCAGTCATGATATATGATATACAATAAAAAAACGGGTATACAGTATCTGTGAAACTTATTATTCTATAATTCATTTATTGTGTAATAAAATATAACTGAATGCTAATTCTAAGAATTCCAAAACACCAAACCATTTACCATTCACTCCTTTACGCATAGTTGTGTATGTAGTATAGCCCATTGTTGTATTGTATATTGTCCAATTACTAGTAACGTTACTAGTACATCATTAATGTACAAAAAAGTGTTAATTGCTGTGTGTCAGTCTCTTTCATAATTGCTTGATTTTTTTAAATTGCTTAATTGTGTGATATGTCTATGTGAATAAGACAGAATTTTTTCACCAAAACATTTATATTACAATTTTGGCTCAGCGAGTTTCTTATCCTCTGAAGAATTAACAAATTGTTATCACTCGCCCGCCAGAATTTAAAAAATTTTCCAATATCTATCCCATTCAGGAGACAGTTACATACAAAAAGCTAGCTATAGTGTTGCTTTATCAAATTGTATGTCAGTTTCTTTTTTAATTGCTTGATTTTCTTAATTGTCTGAAATACAAGGTATGTAGACTGAGAAATGGACAGAATTTTTCTCAGCCAGTTTCATACACTTTAAACAAGACTGGCAATGAAAACATACATTGCCATGGCGACGGTGGTTGCTGTTAGGGTAATTGTTTGCATGGCACTGACATGATTTAATGATTTTGAGGAAGACTTGGTACCTGTTAAGTCTAGACAGATACAGTGCACTCCTCCCCTGAGTGTATAGTGAATGAGCCCTGGAGTCACAGAAAGTAGGGCCATCCGGGAAAGAGAGGTCTTCCCAAGGGTTTCCAGGAATGTGGGCATAGATGTGGGTCAAATTGAAATGCCTGTGGACAAAATGCCTGTACCATTCCTAGAATTCTTGCAAACTGCACACAATACTGTACCATTAGGCTCCTCCCTGAGAAGTCGCCAAAAAAACACCAGTTGCAAGTGTTGTCACTAGCCTGCCATCATTATCCAATCTCTATCCCATCAGGAGACAAGTTCAGACTTGTCCTAGCGAGCACCCTTCGCGAAGACGGAGCTCCAGACGACGGTGAGTTCATCCCCACGGACGGGACGCCGTCCCGCGCTGACCAGTTTGAGTACGTCATGTACGGCAAGATCTACAGAATAGAGGGAGACGACACACACACGGAGTCTGCCACCAGACTGTACGTATGAGTTACTGTATAGATTATTATTTGTTTATCATGTTAACCGAAGGAAAACATATGTTTACCGAAGGAAGACATACTGTTTTTACTCAGTTTCTTCCTCCTCTTCTGTTCCAAACACTAACCTCTGACCTGGCCAATGACATGATTTGTTGATGTGTGTCACCATGGTGACTGGTGTTGGGTTACATAATGTTGCAATTTCATGGTCTGCTCTTCTCCTGTCACCATATACTAGTAGTACATGTATGTGAATGTGTTTGAGTAAAAATTAACAGGGCAGACCATGTCCAAAGGTAAACATTGTTTTTACTCAGTTTCTTCCTCTTCTGTTCCAAACACTAACCTCTGACCTGGCCAATGACATGATTTGTTGACGTCTGTCACCATGGTGACTGGTGTTGGGTTACATAATGTTGCAATTTCATGGTCTGCTCTGCTCCTGTCACCATATACTCATAGTATATATGTATGTGAATGTGTTTGAGTAGAAATTAAAAGGGCAGACCATGTCCGAAGGTAAACATTATCATTATGCATTTGCTTTGCAAATGTTACTTCTCTAGTTATTTATTTAATCTCAGGATGGCTGAGTGGCCCCATTCAGCCTACAATAGCTGTTTTATAAGGGGGCCCAGCTTGTTACAAGACGCAACATTGTTGCATACACATACAGTAAAACAAAGGAGCACAATATAGAGTAAACATAAAAAGAGTCCAATGCGTGGAAAACAAAATCATAGTCTAATACTCAAGGTGCTAGCAGTTCAATAGTCAAAATGCAAAAAAAAAATGGAGTGGAGGTCAGAGGTCAGGTTTCATACGACCTACGTTTCAAGGCTGCTTAAACTGCGATAGAGTTGGTAACGTTACATGTCTTACAGAGCTGACCAAAGCTCACATGACTGGAATCCAGGCTAGAAAAGTCATAGATGCTACTTGAATGAAACATCTGACAGTTTTGAAAATCTATGCACTTGCTTCAGTAACAGTTTTCTTGAGTGTTTCAATTTCTGAGCGGTACAAGTGGTGCAGGTAATCAGGGTGTTATGAGCACCAGTGTAGGTATGCAGAAAAAAAACCTACTAGCTAGTATTTAAGCCATGACTGTGTGGTATCAATTTGGGATTGAACCATGTCCTCGTGATCCAGAAGCAGGAAAGAAATAAATAAAGGAGTGCCGGAAGAATCGGATTAAAGCCACACAAAATTTCTTTGTTAGAACTTATATATAGAAGATCTAGATAACATTTTGATTGACACGGCTGTCTTTGTCATGGCTGATAGGTCATGCATTGAGATAACACAAACATGCCAGGTACAAAACAGGTTTCCTTTGTGTAGCTTGTGAATCCTTTGTGCAAAGTATGCCTTAAAAAAGAATTGTTGGTGAGATGAAAACTGTTTTTGCTTATTTGTTTTTTGTTGTTAAAAAAATGGGTACAACATTCAGTATTGTCTCCTTTCCACCAGTGGTCTTTTTTTATTCAAATCCTTCTGTAAACTTGAATTTCAATCCTGTTGGGTCTGCGGAATGTAAGCGAGGCGGTTAACCAACTTAGAAATAAGTGTGGATTCCTTGACTAAAACCAAGCTTCTTTGGGAAAAAAAAAGAAAAAACTTTTCTGGGAAACCAATTTGCACACACAGACAAGTCTAAGAACAAGTTACTGTTAACAATAACAAGAGAAATGTACATGTAGGGTAAACAAAGTGCCCCATTGGGGACAGAGTTGAAATTATCAGAAGCAATGAAGCTTGAAATTACTCAGGTCTATATTAGGACATATAAAGAACACAATGTAATATGATAATGTTTCTTCCTGCTGATATAACATTTATGCATTAGACAAGTAATTCAAACTGGGAGAAAAAATATTGAAGTCCTATCCATATGTTCCGCTAAGAGTGTCCATGTTTTTTTTTTTCATTAATACTATCATTTTGGTAACCTTACAATGAATGTCACTTAGAAAACCTGCTCATCCCAAGGTCATCACGTAAGTTGGTTGTTACCAACTAAGAAGCACGTGTCCAGGGACTAGAATTTTACTTTATGTAATAACCACACTGCTGCTTCTACATGACTGATCAAAATAACATGAAAATGATTATCATGCTCTTTATATACAATACATTGTGTATTTAGAGAAATATTTTGGGTGGAGTCTATTCCATAATCCAGAAAAAGGCCAGTGTTACTATGACATGCTTGTTGTCTTCTGGCAATATTCTAAATAGTTACTAGTAGTACAGGCTCAAATTCTTAGTTGCTGTCTTCTTCTAAAACACCTCAGGTCATGTCACAGTAGACTTGCCGATATAATATGGGAAAATCCCTCCAGCAAAATTCACACGGTTGGAGGTCAGAGGTCTTCTAAAACCCTGGACTAAGGCCACACCAATTTAATTTTCCGGTTAACGGATTTTTCTAGAAAAATAATGGAGCGGGCGGGCAAAAATAAAAAATAAAAACAGGCTTAGGCATCCTGTTATGGCCCAAAATGGTACGATAGGAGCCATGAAGCACCAGGCTGGTTCAAAATTTAAACAATGAATTTTGAACTTTTAATGAAAGATGGAATAACTGTAACAACTGGGATGAAAAGGGGCTGTTTTCAACTGTTCAGGTCAAAATATGAGCATTTGAGCATTTTGCAGTTGATTCTGAATTTTTTTTTTTTTTTTTGCAAATCAGAAAAAAATGAAGCGGGCGAATCCGTTAACCAAGAAATTAAACTGGTGTGGCCTAAGTACTGGTTCACTTGATTTTATGTGTGTGTAAGTCACTGACCTCCACGTGTTATTGTTATGGCAGGATAACTACTCATACTGTCATACATGTACATGTAACAAATGCCACACCTAAGAATTCTACTGAGCCTCATTATTTATTTAAAAGGGGTACAAGGTTACAATGTGCTTTGTCCAAAGGGAGGGAACTATTGTTTTCTGGCTAGTTTGTGTGTGTGTGTGCGCGCGCGTGTGTTTGTGTGTGAATGCGTATGCGTGCATACATATGTGTATGCATGTGTGTGCATATGTCTGTGTCAAATATGGTAAATTGGTCTGCCATTTCTGATTGCCTTGAATCTAACACTATAGACTTAGAACATAAAAGAGTCTGAGGTCAAGAAAAAAAGCTGCTACATGTAAAATGTAGTAGCCACAGTAGTTTTATTTGATACATTTGTAGAAATCTAACATTTCAAATTCATGCAGTTTACTTTTAAAAGTACACATTTGTGTCATATAAAGTCTAGATTATTGTGTACTAAGTGGTGAAAAAAGTGAACAAAGCCACTAAATCTATTGTATTATACGATTATTGGATATTAGACACAACATCTTGACTGATTATGTGTTATAAGCTCTGGTTATACTAAAAATTAAACTCAATTTCAAAACTTTGATTATTCAATCTCTTCTCAGAAAGAATTAAATTTGTTATCTCGATGTGTTCCGACCAAAACTAGTATATATTTTTCAAGGCAGATGACAGCTTGAGTTGCAGTTATAGAGTTGTTGCAACAATGAGCGAGTACCTCAAAACATCATCATGTCTGTTTCCTTGATGGAATCGTCGCCGTTATTTTGCCAGAAGGCAGCGTTCTTTATCGTTGCCATGTAGGTCGACTCTCCGCGCATGAAGGAGTCAGGCTGAAGTGGAAGTCCGACGTCAAACGGATCTACGCTGTCCGTGACTTTACACGTACGCAGCGACTCAGCGACCTCCATCGTGAGGTTATCATTTCCAAAGTTGATCACAGCATTGTTAGATTCTTCATATTTGTTGGATGGGCCTGTTTTAGCCTTCAGGACATCAGGTTTGAACTCTCCATCTTCAGTGAAGTATTCCAAACCGTTTTCTTCCCCGTCAGTATCAGTTGAGAGTCGGGCACTAGGCTCGAACATTTGCTCGTCAAGTGTTAGGTCATCTTCGTGACCTTTGTCTGACTTTGGGAGGGCTCGCATCACGCCATTTGTTACTGGTGTGAGATCCTTGGGGGAAATCTTTTTCGTGATGGCATCAACCACAGTCTGAGCCATGTCACGCGGTTTGTCGAAGTTGTCGAGAAGGAACGCATGACACTGCAGGTCATCCTGAGAGGTATCTGCGTCGCCTTTAGCGTCCTTGCACAGAACACAGGCAAAGACGAGTTCATGTTGCTTGTCAGTTGCTGCGTACACGATTTCTTTCACGGGAAGAAACTTCCTCTTCTTGCTGCCAACATAACGCAGGTCAGACGCCTTCTTTATCGTTCCTGTTTTGCCTATTTTCTCAAAGGCAACACCAGCGTTTGAGATTTCTACGCGTACCTTGTTCGGAGGCTTACCTACACCCAGCTTGAAGAGTAGGTCGACAGCGTTGTGGATGTGTCTTGGAACGACTTCCTCGCCACGTATAACCGGCATCTTGCCAAGGTAGCAGGCAATGGTAGCATATTGCACTTCAGATACAGCCTGGCCATGAGAGGTTGACTGTGGAGGCACGGGCGCCTTTCTGTGGGCTTTTTCCGGAACGTTCTGTGAGTGCCCCAGTTTGCTGCTTGTACTGGAGGAGTCATCACTTCCATTGATAGAGTCGGGGTCAATTTTTCTCATAGCCAGTGTTACGATGCCACTCGAGTCTGGTGAAAAATGTTCCGCGCTATTCGATGACGCAATGGAGCTACCGTCATCCTTATCAGTACTGCTCTGTGTGGAGTTTAGGCGTCGTTTTCTTGGGGGAGCCACTGGGAGATCTGCGGAACTTGTCGGCCATCCTGATGATTGTTCTCTAACTTCTCTTCCGTTCTGTTCTTTACCACTTGGAAAGCTGTCCTGGGAAGGCTGGTATTCTCGGGTTGACTGCGACACACTTTGTACAGACCCAGCCCCATGGTCCTGTTTCAACATCGGTTCCTTCTTTGACTGTGTAACAACTCCGTCAATGGCAGTCTTAAGAAGGTAAGCCGTGTCACAGTCTTGACACAGGTACGCCAGGCATTGCCACTGGTCCCCTTGGTCGAGATTAACCACCACCAGTAGCACGTTCTTCACTGTGTTTTCAACGTGCACAGACACAATGGTCTCCACAGGATAAAAGCTTACCTGCGACTTGTGCTTGCCCATTAAACGTTTCCACGTCCCAGACAGGGACTTTGAGTTTGTGTCTCCCACTTGCACCCCATCTTTGCACACCTGTATCTTCACTTTCCCCGGCGATTGGTTGTTAGCGGCTAGCAACAATCTTCCCAGCAAGGCCTGAATCTCCTGGGTGCTGAACGTGGTGCCGGCTTCCACGTAGAACCTGCCAAGCTGGAATATTGAAGCCTCCCTCATAATCCCTGCATCTTTTGTTGTCTTGGACATGTTGAAGGGTCTTTAACAAGTGTTGCAGACTAGACAAGAAACAGGTAGGATCCTATACAAGAGATCTTCTTCAGATCATTTTTCATGTACTAGGTGGATCCGTATATGCTTGCATGGGACCACTCCCATAACAACATCCACCCAAGTCCCTAATTCCACACCTAGTCACCGGGTCCAGGTAGGATATACTGCTGTATTGGGAGATCCTGTCATGTAAAGCGATGTTGCGTGACAACTCAGTGAAGCGCTAAATCATGCGTGGTGACAGCTCATTATGTATGCAGGCTTGCTTGTCAGACAAGTGGTTCAGGAAGGCTATTGGACCCTGTAAAGCCCTTCAGGGGAGGAGCTAAAACCATGCTAAAACTGTTCAGCTGAAAAGTGATTGGCAGCTTGTCATGTACTGTAGATCATGCAATTTTTCTTGGAATTATTCCTCGATATTTCCAAGCAGCAATATTGTATCAATGTGTACAAACACGTTTTAGATATGTACAAATAATACCGTATGATTTTTACCGTGACAGTTCTTGTTTCCATAATTTTATGTGATGAAAAGATTATCTGAAAAGCAAAAATTAGCTGAATTACAGTAGGCTCTACGTGGCACTGACTGGAGAAATTGTTAATGAAGGTTGATGCCTGCAACCTTGTTTGTGGCTTAAAGGGCTTTGTGAACCCGCATGGACTAAAGGGTGCATTAAATTGTGTTTTGTCACAAAACAAGACATGTTTATAATAAGTGTTGATAGTCGATAATTTTCAGTTGATAGCTTTAAATAGAAAAAAGTACAACTGACTAAAAAATTGGCCTAGGGAATAAATGTGCATATTTGATTTATATAGTAATTCTTTCCATATTATGAATATAGTACATTTGTCACATAATGCAAGATATTAAAGGGAATGGAATGAAATATGGTGCTTTTGAATTGAAAGGTGCACAAGAAATTATTTAAGATAGCTATAGAATATATGTATCTATACAACATGTGAAATATCTAGAATAAATTGTTCACATTAGGCCACACCAGTTTAATTTCTTGGTTAACGGATTCTCCCGCTTCATTTTTTTTTCTGATTTGCAAATAAAAATAAAAATTCAGAATCAACTGCAAAATGCTCATATTTTGCCCTGAACAGTTGAAAACAGTCCTTTTCATCCTAGTTGTTATTCCATCTTTCAATGCAATGGTATCATTAAAAGTTAAAAATTCATTGTTTAAATTTTGAACCAGCCTGGTGTGTCGACTTCATGGCTCCAATCGTACCATTTTGGGCCATGATAGGATGCCTAGGCCTGTTTTTATTTTTTTTTTGCCCGCCTGCTCCATTATTTTTCTAGAAAAATCCGAGAAACTAAGAAATTAAGAAATTAAAGAAAACCAAGAAATTAAATTGGTGTGGCCTTAACAGATGTTCTATGGAAAGGTGTCTCTATCCCCCATTTTTGGCTTGACGATGTGTAACGTGTTGGAATGTGAAATTGTCTGGGGGCTTCAGTTTGAATGGTTCATTATGATGCGGTATGAATTATTGAACACACTGTGACGCAGGTATTGCACACTAAAGGCTTTCAGTGGATTAATGATTCGCTTTTGTCTACAAGTATGAATAGTTGTACATGTATTATGATTCTAGACAAAAAATTATTTATTAAGTATGAGGCAAAAAGCAATATTTGCTTATATGACACCTTCTACTCAAAAACATACAAGTATAAAACACATAGACAAGATACATGCATAATTACAAAGTGGATAAAACCAAGATAAATACAAACAAGACAAGTTGGTGGTTTATCTATTACAAGAATCTACCCGTACGGTATATAAATGAAGTTTTGGACTATATCAAAACATTACAGTTTTGTAGGTGTGAAAGTGATGTGGACCCTCGAAGTAGTAAGGAACATAGGGAACTGTCATTGAGATGCTGTAGCTGAGATGTTGGAGAGAGATGATAACAGAGTACTTCTTTGACTAGAATTAAATTTACAATGTAGAAAGTAAAATTTACAATGTAGAAAGTAGTGTTCGGTTGTTTGACTATGATATAGTATGTATGATAGCCACATTTACAAGTCAATACAATAATGTTGAAATAGATGGTAATTTAACTGTTGAGAGCTTCTCCCAACAGTTGGGCCATATGTGAATAACCTTGAAATTTGAACATGCCTGACTTAAGCATGTGCATGTACATAAAGTGAAGACTTACATGTTTTGACATGGGTGCACATTCTGAATGCTACAGTGCCTAATGAAGTGGTAAAATGCCTTCTGTGCTTTACTGCACATAAACTGATGGCCTCTGGCACTCTACCAATAATATACATAATATGAGCACAAGTTTCATCCTCGTACATACAGTAGATTGGAGGGAATGACATGCGTACATTAAACTTGGTGACTCTTGCAGTGCTAAACATGTCAGAATCCCTGTGCCATGTTAGCCTGGTTACCAGACATAGCCCCGAGTCCTACTGAATGTAGGACTCGGGAGCTGTAATAGGTCTGGTAACCAGGCTAGTGCCATGTAGCTATCTACTTTGAAGTCTTTCTGTGTGTCTGTTTGTATGTTTGCTTGATATGTTTCTGTAGTTATTTCTACATGCTTGGCATTTTGGGGACACTGACAGGGAATTTGATACTAGGTCAAAGGTCCCAAATAGGTCCAAGAAAAGGTTATCTCATTTCCTGTCTTCATTTTCCCTCTCTATGTGTAAGCATATCTGTTGTTGTATTAGACAGAATCAGCAAGACATTCAGAAAAGCTTTGAATATTTCAGCATTATGACTATGAAACCTTCAATTTCTTGACAGTATAGTAAAATTTCATATTCCTTAGGCCACACCAATTTAATTTGTTGGTTCTCGGATTTTTTCAGAAAAAATAAAAATAAAAACAGGTCTAGGCATCCTATTATAGCCCCAAATGCTACAATATGAGCCATGAAGTCAACAAACAAGGCTGGGTTAAAATTTAAAGTATAAATTTTGAACTTTTAATCAAACCACAGTACTACATTGATAGATGGAAAAAACTGTAACAACTAGGAAGAAAAGGAATTTCCTCAACTGTTGGGGGCAAAATATGAGCATTTTTGAGTTGATTCAGAAGCAGAATCTTTTTTTTTTTTTTTGCAAATCAGAAAAAAATGAAGAGGCGAATCCGAGAACCGACAAATTAAATTGGTGTGGCCTTAAATTGTTGTGTTTGAAATAGAACAGAACAAAGTTTTAAGTTTTGATGTATCCCTATGTTCTCCAGGTCAGCCTATGTGTCGTATGGTGGACTCCTGATGAGGTTACAGGGAGATGCCAACAACCTGCACGGCATGGAGGTGGACAAACATGTCTACCTGCTTATCAAGAAACTCGCCTTCTAACTCTAAGTGACACATTGTACTAATACCTTTTAGTGATAGGTGCATACAAAGTCATGTATGTGAACTTCTGTATGTCAGCCTACTCTGTATCAAATCTACATTGTGTACAGTCATGTACATTTGTGCATGAACTAGTCTCCCATCCATATATGACTACCAGGTGCCTCAGTGTACATTCTTAAGTTTCAGCCATTGTTCTTGATACATTGTCTTTCAGTTAGTGCTTTTTGTAGAAAATTGTATGAAGGTGTGTATGTCTATCAATATTAACTTTGATGGACATCAGTATTGTGACTCCGGTTAATCCATGTTATAGATTGAGTTAAGTTCCGCAAGTTCTCCTACCAAATCTCAGTTTTTAAGTTGGAAAAAAGTCCTTCTTTCATCAACAATTTACACTTTGTTCCTCCCGTCTTTTAACATATGTGTAGTATTATGTACTGTCTGATGACTCTCTGCCCAACACATTTGTATTTTCACCTAATAATAATGATTTCTAAACAAACCTTGATATTGGTCTGTCTATAAGTCTTGTAGTGTGTTGTACTTGGTATAGGCCTGTTACATGTAGGTGTTTCAATGTAACCCTAACCTAATAATATTTCAGCAGTCTCCGCTATCTGTAAATGTAGATATCAAAGCTTAGCCTAACAGGTTGGTAAAATAGTGTTACTTTGCTTTCTTATTCTAGTTCATACTTGATGCATTTACCAGCATTTCTTTTTCTTCATTTTGGACATATTCAGAATACATGAATCAAGTCACTCAGATACTTTTCATGAAATAAACAAAAAGGTCAAATTGACATATGTACATGTTCTTAATGTTACTGACAATGGTGGACCTGTTTTGAGTTGATGTAGTTATACATGTATGCAGTTCTCTATTAGTACAACATCTGTGTCCATAATATCACCAGGGTCCATAATATCGCCACCTTGAGAAATAGTGTGCTTTAAGATATTTTTACTGTAACATACTTTTGGTAATACTTTGCACTCCTTCACACATCAAATGTACATACCTAGGGTATGTTGCAGTAAAAATATCTTTAAGCACACTGTTTCTCAAGGTGGTGATATTATGGACCCTCAGGTGATATTATGGACACAGATGTTATAACTGTAGACCACAATAATATTATAAGACCACAATATGATGTTTTTTCTGGGTTGTTTATTCTTGTCTTAACATTCAAAGTGGGGACTGGCAACATTTAACACCTATAAATTTTACAGGCAAGTCAGGTAAGAGGTATATCATTTCTCAGTACATGTGACAAACAATATGTGCTCACTTTATCTTCTGTCCACTTCTTGAAAAGACATTTAAGTTGCTGCTAAAGAACTGTTACTTCATTTCAGCAAAGCCTACAGTATTCATTCATTTTCATATTAGTCACATCTATTTTTTTGTAACTATTGTCCACAGGGTTCTAGCTAGGATTTAATTTAAGTGTAGTGGCACTGGCCGCATGATGATAGAGCGAAGCGGAGCTTTTAAAAATTTGAGCGTAAAAAGAGGCCATTTGAGGGATACCCAAAGGGAAAAAATGTTATTTCTAAGGTATGTACAATGTATCCTTGATTTTTCACATTTGATGTGGCATTCTTGAACAAAGAAATACAGTCACAATGCCCTGTGCTGTATTAAAAATTAGCATAGGGGGCAAATTTAGCGTAGGGGGTCAAAATTACAGCATAGGGGGGGAAATTTAGTGTAGGGGGTCAAAATTATAGCATAGGGGGCCCCTACGCTACTTTGCACTAGCTAGAACCCTGGTCCATCAAAAGCAACAGGATTCCCACAAAATTCAAAGGACGGATGTTGAAAAAGCCTGATTGTTTCTCCCTGACAGTCATAAGCTAATTATAAGGCCTGGTTACCATCAGCCCTGATGCTGATATAATTATCTTGAGATATAAAAGAAGGGGGGTAGTAAAGGATAGCTAACATACAATTTGGGTAAAAAGTAAAAAAATAAACATAATTTCTTAGGTCACACAACATACTAGATATCATACAGCTATTTGAGCTAAGCAAACAAAATTTGCATATCTTAATACTAAAGATGTTATTTCATGACTTTATTTACAAATAGCAACTTCAAACATGACAAAAATGTAAACAAGTCGGAAAGACAATTTGTTTTTAAACTGCATAAAATCTAGGACTGCCTAATTATATATACTAGTAATTGGATCAAGATCCAACCTTATTGCAAAAGGCATTTTGGTATCATAAGATAGAGCATTTAATGTACCCATGCAACATCTATAGTAATGTTATATTTTTTAGATGAAGATCTTATATTTGTACCATAATACTGGTAGAACAAGAATTGCTCCCTGCTGTTACATTCATAGAACAGACTGCAATAAACAGTGCAAGGCTGGGGACACGTCACTGGTACCACCCCACGTACATGTACATACACATTTGTACTTGTAGTTGTACATGTACAAGTAGAGAATAGTACAGTAAAGTAAGCCCCTGTCACACATTCAGAACTTTCCCCTGACTACCATCCAAAAGGGTTAGCTGAAGTTCGGGAGCAGTCTGACTAGAATTAGGCTATGCCTACATGTACCTTTCTATATGAATCAAATCCGATTTGAGTCAAATTTGACCTTCCGAACATGCCCAAAACATGACCTACTCCCGAACACCACGTGACAACAACTATTGCTGAACCTCCCGTCCACACCCAAATGTTTTAAACATTTTGAAACATTTGGCAAACAAATGCTTAGGATTGTCAAAAATGTACACTGGTACCAAAAGATACCAAATGGTGTACTATACGAAAACCTACCCACAGTGAGCGAAACAATAAGAAAACGAAGGTTGAAGTTGATCGGACACTGCTACAGAAGTGAGGATGAAATCATAAACCAGTTAATACTGTGGGAGCCCTCACATGGAAAAAGAAGTCGAAGTCGTCCAACAAGAAACTACATAAATCAATTAATGGATGACACCCAGCTCGACAGGAAAAACCTGATGGTAGAAATGAAGGATAGGAAGAGATGGAGAGCTATCATTGGCACCGAGGGAAGCTCGACCCAGTGAGTGGAATGAGTGAGTGAAACATTTGGCTGGTGCCGCTGAACAGTAGCCAACCTTGCTGAAAACCAGCCAAACCACACAGCCCAGCTACTCCTAACCATGGTTGGGGGAGTTCTGCAGTGTTTAGAAGCAAATACATGTATTTGGCCATGTGTGACAGGGGCTAAAGAATTGTGTGCCCGTGATGTTTTCCCAGTCAGCCTTCCTGTGCTACATGTAGTTCCATCCACAGTCTGCTGGTCCTACTGTCCACACAGGGTGGCATCTATCTGCTGTAGACAGGGCAGGGCAAGCTTCACCTTCCTCCTGATGGACAAATAGAGTGTGGAAAGATGTCATTACCTGTCAATATCTAAACCGTTTGGCTTACAAACATGCATACCTTGTGTTGTGATGTGTTGGACTATTATCATCATCAGTTCTGCCCTTGGACAATCATAAATTTCTATAATGGCTTTTTTGCATGTATTATTGCTATTCTGCGGTTTTTCATTCTGCAACATTCTGGTGAATGCATCTGCTTCGTATCACAGCAACTTCTCTTGTGTAAAGCCTTTGCAAAGATTGCAGATTGTGACTGGGTTGAAACAATGATTTGAACTCTCAGTACTTGAATTTCAAAAGGACAGTACATCTACAGTACGTGTTATACATCAGTGCACAAAATACTTTTTTGAACCAGGTTGCCCAGTGGGCAACCTACGGCAAAAATTAGGTTGCCCATCAGAATTTTAGGTTGCCCCACCTATAAGTCACTACTTCTAAGTAATGTTACATACATAAGCCTTTGACAATATTTCTAACAGCCTTTAGTTAACTGATACTAGTAATAGCCATTACTACATTAGCCAAGTGGGCATGATTTGGGGGGGGGGCATTCTTAAAATCCAGGAAGCACACTTGGCTACCTAGGTTCAAAAATAGGTTGCCCCAAGTAAAATTTGGTTGCCCGGGGCAACTGGGCAGGTATTTTGCACGCTGTTCATGTGGACCATTGACAAATATGGAATCCTTAGAACTATCTGCACACCCAGGTGTCATGTAGTTACAGATGTTGTACATGTGTTAGTACCCACCTATAGTTGGTGTCCTTTGCCTGAATGGGGTTCCCTTCCAGGTACACCGTGGCCAGCTGTTTGGCACCTGACAGCTGCTCCAGGTCCTTCCAGTCACTGATCTGGTTGTGGTTACACTACAGGGGGGAGGATGACAACCATCGAACATCTTCATACACGTGAAAACTATGATATCAGTGTAGTCAGTCAAGCAAGATGCTTTTTCTAGCACTGGTAGAGCCAAAAATGTCTATAAAATGTCAAACGGACAATAGACATGATTTAGACATTGCTGAACAAAGGCCGGTCAGGAGAACATTAAGTAGACATAAAATAAACGACATCAAAATAACCCAAGGTGGACATTTTATATCCATAGTCTCTTCACGTGTCAGGTAGGGACACCCCTAGGAGACAGTCCTTTGTTTAGCACAATGCGCACTTATAAAGATATTAGCATCTGTCTGTTAATTAATTGTGTCCTGCTCTGTAGATTGTCTTGGCTTTGTGCAGTGCTTTTCATATGTCAGTTTTCACACTTTTTTTCTAAAGACATTCTGACAGACACCTCATGAACAATGGAAAACACAACAAGCAAGTCCTCCCCAAAAAGACCGTGTAAAGACCTGGGAAAGACATTCTTACAAATGTTAACAAGAAAGGTGTAAAAAATACACCTAGGCGACGAATTGTATATTATGTAAATTAGGGTATTATCAATTTAATTTATTTTTATTATATGTACGAATTGGAATATTCACTTCATAAGCTACATGTACATATATGTGCCTGGTTATCTACATGTCGACAATCGACCAATATCGGGTCCCCATTCTTAGCTCGGTGTTTGTTGCTATTGTTTAGATTTAATTCCAATCTTTTATAAATATTTTTAAAGGGATATCTTATGTTTTACAAACATTTCAAACTTGTTCTTAACTTCTTAAGAAATTTCCGTAAATTACAAAACTTTCGAAATATTTTTGAGTCCGCGTACGATATTTCCAATGATTTCTAAAGAAAGGCAACTCGGTTCTACCATTTTTTTTAATTTTTGTAAATGACCCGTGACGAAGTAATTTGCACATC